AAATGTATGCCTCTTGCATGTTTCTGGTACCATCACGGCTACAACAGCACTCCAACCCCACTACTTTAGTACAGAACTATGTTGAGGACCTCGGGAGAAGGCAAGTGACTGCACACACATCACTCTCTTGATGGCAAGGCATTTAAAAACAGGTTGATAAAATTTGGATAGGAAATGACTAAGGATTGAGGCTTACTGTCTTAGACTCTGGGAGAAAGGGCTGGAAGGGACCTCAGGATGTTGCAGGAGAGCAAAGAACTTTGTTATCAGCACACGGGACCTTTAGTCAGTGGGACTGTAATGCTAGGTTCGCTCTCCCAAAAGCAATGCAGGTGTATGTCCCTCAGCCAGTGATTCTCAACCATGGTGCTGCGAGATCCTTTCAGGGGTGTAACACAAAGTTACCATCGTGAGGTGTGCAAATGTCATTCACAAGCTAAACCCTAAGATTTCAAGCAAGAATCCAAGATGCTTAAACCATTTATCTGACCTGTTGTGGACTAGCTGAGTTCTTTGCAACAAAATAATTCCTCCAGCATTTTTCTGCACTTGGAGTGAAAGCAAGGAGCTGGCATTTTCCGAGCGGTGTCTTGAGTCTCAAAAGATTGAGAACCACTTCCCTAAGCTATTCCATCCTTCTGTTTGAAGTGAAGGCTGTGCAGACTTTTCACTACTTTAGAAAACTCTCACAATCTCAACAGTCCCTGAGGAAATTACCTCTGCTTTTGCCATTAGAAATAGAGATGAAAGTAAAAATTCAGGCCTCAGCTGAGATGAAAATATCACTGTGCTGTGAAATCCTAGGTATGGATGACTAGCTTTCTTACCCTGTGGTAATTTTCATTCTTCATTTGCTGGACAGGGGACATTCTTTATTACCAAAATGTAACCGGAAACTTGGTGTTCAGCAGACTGTGTCACAAGATTTGCTTAAAAAGTCATCTGGCAAATTCTGAAAGTTCCTCCCCCCCCCCGCCGCCGCCGGTCAAATTCATTTGACTAAAATCAGTCGCCTTCCAGCATCTGGCTGTATGTAGCTGGTGGGTTATACAAGCACTTCAAGCAGAAGTTTGAGTTGCTCCACTTGAGACAACACATAGTTGGATGGGCACCAAGAGAGTCGAGTCCAAATTGAGTTTTAACATTGAACTCTTTCAACACACCCTGGAAAGTGCCAATTACTGGATTTGGGTCCTGCATCATTTGCTTTTTTCCTTTTGAGGCTTAATTTTGTGACTTCCTTTTCTGGTTTTAGAGGAAGAAAACCCAGCCCAACTTCATGAGAAACGTCTTCCCAGTTTTCTTTAACTTTTCACTGAGATTAGTTCTAGCATCTGATTCCTCCCTGTAAGTATGATCCGAGGCCAGTTGTCAAACTTGAGGTTTAGAAGAGTTTGTTTAGCCAGCAGGTAGAAGGAGAGGCCCAACCCAAACACAGTTCAGGTAGAACTTGCAGCGAAGATGGTAGGCATTGCGCATTCCTGGTAGCTGTCGTCATCTACGATGTTTAAGGTTAGGTATTACTGGAAGCTCTGAGGATTTTACCTTCGGTCCTCAAGTCAGATTTTAAAGGCTCGGCTGCTGGAGTCTTGGGGCAGTGGCTGTCCGAGCATGTTCTTTCCATTGTTTTTATGGCAGCGGCACCCAGATGCAGACTTGGCTCTGTGGGGGCCTGTACAAACACCTTTCCCTGAACTGAGGAGTTTCTGGTCTCGTGTCAAGCAGGGCAGCTGCTGCTGTGGCTGATCACATGCCCGCACGTGTGCTAGTGTTGTTCAGGGTGCAGAGCTCCTTGCTGGGTGTCGAACACACAACTACGTTTGCAGCAACTGCAAGTAGCAAGCAAGGAGGTGCTGAGGCAACAAGCACCTTTGTCAGAAGGTTCAGTAAGGACAGCGGTGCCAAAACCGGGTGTCAGGGGTGGCATGCTGCTTGAAAGGAAATGAACCGGTGTGGAGAAGCAGTGAGCTTATTCCATGGGACAGCAACATTGGACCATGTTTGAAAGAGCTCCCGTCCCCCATCCCCACCCCAAAATACACACTCAGCTCGGAGGACAATGGAAGGCAAGATGGCCCCTCTACCATTCTGTGCACGTTGCTGCAGGATGCTGAGTTAACGGCAGGGGCCTGAGTCTGGATCTGCCACTGCCCCCAGCAATACTTAGCTCTGCAAACACGAGTATATGAATGGTGCCCCACTTGCTAGGAATCCTGGGCTGTCTGCATGCTCCATCTGGATGCTGTATAAACATACTGGATAAGAGCTTGGAAGAGGCAGAGTGACAAAGGTAAAAAACTTTATTAGTAAACATTGTTTTAAGATCAAGCTACAGAATCGCAGAGTCCATTCCCAGACAGCTCCCCATTCCAAGACCTGCATGCTCAGGCACTGCTGAATGAGGTCACAGTAATTAGAAAAACAGTTGAATCTTTAACTTATAAGACAATGAGCAAAAATGTTTCCAGCTACCCTTCAGCATGAAAGCCAGGGTCATGCTCCAAAGGAGGCAAGTCTTGGTCACCAAATACGAGCTGTTTGTTTTGCAAAACAAGCTGTGAGTGCTTTCTGAAGGGCACCACGATGGCACTTACTTCTTCGGTGCAATGATGCCTTCAAGCTGGGCCTACAAAGCAAAACGACATTAAAGGTAAGGACAAGTGTACACTTTTGCTACATGAAAATGGATGGGGGAGCTGCTGCCGAGGAGCATAACCACTGCTCTACAGTCTGACTTGTATCCGTGGTGACATGAGCTCAATTGGCTTAAATTTGATTCTGAATGAAGCAAGGTTAAAGTTGGAGCAGTTCTGCTACACTCGACTGTTACGGAATCGTGCAGACCGAACAGCTGCAATGGGATTCTTTGATATTGAAACAATTGTTACATATGTCTCTACCCTAAATTCTGATTAAAATAAATCTAAAAGATAAACCCCATGCTGCTGAAAAGCGATCGTCTGCTTTACTTCCACAGTGAGGATGCTGGGGGATTGTTGCAATACTCCCAGGGAAGCAGGCCAAAGGGCTCTTTATTATTCCTAGTTATTTCATTCCTTGCTCCATGTTTTATAAATTAGGTTTTCATTCCTGGCATGCAGGCTTGTTGCGTTATGAGTAGAAAAGAGCTGGCCTTGGTTTCATGCAATGAAAGGCTTGGTTTATAATGTAAAGCACTGAAAAGGAAATTAAATAAAAGCTGTTGAAATAATGCTCTGGGTTTGCTAAGTTAGACATTTGGCTCTGGGGTTTGGAATGCAAGTTCCAACTCTGGGACAGAAGTATCTGGGAACAACAGAGTTTTTTTTTTTTAAAGCCATGGAGATAAGTTACTATACTAGATGAAGGAACTTGCTACCAATGCATAGGGAACCTGTGCTGAAAACTGCACAGGACCCATAGACTACCCTCATCCCTGAGCCATGCAGGATATGAACGCCAGTAAGTGGTCCACGTACAGCTTTCCAAGTAAGTCTAGTTCAAGGGAGCTGCGTGGATTTAGTGGCAAAATATCCTTGGCCAAATGCCTGCTGTGTTTTGGATCCACAGACAGTGCCAGATGGTCTGAAGTTAACTGATATTGTCTGAGCAAGTTAAGGGTGTAGGCGGAAGAAGGCAAAGGAATGCCAAAGATAAGACAAGCAGCTCAGAGAGCTGAGTAAACAGATTTGGATCTGTCCAGGAAGATTTTGCATTGTTTTAAATAAACCATTTTGCCACAAGCATGAGTTAATTTTTCAAATGCAAATAAGTGCATTATCCTGGGAGTAGTTAACACACGCCCTGCTTTCATCCTGATTGCCAAAACAGGAGCGCTGTGTTACACAGTTGTTCTGTCTAAGAACGGGATTTCCATGATCCACAACAGCCAAAGGAAGAATGTCTTCATTACAGCCCTGCTCTGACTGCGTGCACCAGCAGCTAACTGGAGAAGAGGAAGGATGCTACTGATGACAACACAAGAAGTATGTTCTGAACCAAGCCAAGCAAACACTCGCTACCCTAGGAACCCAGGTGATGAGCCTGCACCACTCCAGCCTCCGTGCTGCTTGTGATCCATAGTGCCTGGAAGCCCCAAGACAATGCAGTGACGCTTCCCATGTGGATTTTGGTTCTGTTGCTGTTGAAAGACAGGGTTGGAAAGACAAGTATGTGGTGACTCACTCGTGGGATATGTTCAGACCTGAGCTGCTCTCCTACCTGGGCTGCTAGTGGAAGGAAGCACAAGCTGAATTGAGATGTGCAGCACAAGCACCTATCTGAAAGCTCAGCACGGTTCTAGTGTGCACCAGGCAGAAGGGTTTGCTCCTGCTACCCTTCCTTATCTGGAAACCAAAGGACTAAAGGAATGTCACTTTACGATTTGTTCCCTATTACAGTGTATTTTCTAAGGTTCTTTGCAACAAGAATCCTCCTGACCTGCAAACATACAGCAAGGCCTCTCTTGCCAGTGATGCCTAGCACCCAGTTCCCGCTGCCTGCTGTTACTTGGGTGAGGTCTTGGATAAGGATGGAAGAAAAGGCTCTATTGTACCAAAAGACATGGATTTCATCCTTCTGGCAACTGTTCTCTTTACAGTGTCCCTTGGTGCAAAGAGAACCGTCAAGGTGTCAGACCAATAGCAAAGAAAGTCACCCTGTGGTCCTGGTTTGACTTCATGGGACATCCTGTTCTGTTTTTAAACGGCTTTGAGGCAGCAGTGCATTCTCAACAACTTGGTATTTTCTGCTCACAGCCACCTAAGGTAACTCTCAAGTCAGGTGCATGCAGGAACTTGGTCCTTGAGGAACTATCAGTGTTCAAGAGCAAACTCTAAGATCACCTAAAGATTTGTAAGCCTAAATTGTCTCTGCATCTCAGCCCCAGCTGGGCCTAATGTGTTCCCTACTCAGCCAACTGATCACCAGAAGGCTGGGCTCACTCGAGCTACTATTGCGATCGTCTTCCTCCTACAGAAGCATGGGGAGGTGTGAGGGTTCAGCGAAAGCACAATGTTAGTGTCAGTTAAATTGGAACTTGGGCTTTTTTTATTTTTAAGAAAGTGAAACAAAGACGCAAACAATATTTCCATGTCTCCCTATCTTCCCGCCACCACTTGCAGGTGGGAGTGGGGGTCTCTTTACTGACCTTCAGCTGCTGATTGGTTCGTTTCAAGAACTGGACCTCCTCACCATGCTTCTTCTCCTCTACCTGCCGCCTTTCAATTTCACGTTTTTCAACAGCTTCACATTTAGCTTTTTGCTCATTCACTTGTCTTTCCAGCTCTCTCTTCTCCTCTTCCAACTCTGCAATCTTTGAAATGAACACAGATCTTGCTTGCGTCCGTTGTTACACTTTGGGAGTACAATTAAGACACAGCTGTGTGTTTAACAGTCTTTGCGGCAATATAAATATTATATTATAAATAGGCCTGGGGGGTGGAGAAAAAGATGTTTGTTTGGATGAGCTTTACTGCCATCCAGTGGAACCAGAAAAAACGGAATTGAGTGGAAAATTGAAATAACATGTTTATCTGTGAAATGGGAAAGTGACTCAAATGTAAGAAATGGGGATTATTTTAAAACACCTGTCAGACTGATCTAACACCTATGGCAGAATGTGATCTACCGAGCCTGAAAGACCGCGTACAAAGGTTAGCTCATTTCTCCCCGTGCAGAAAGGTGCATGCTGGAGCGAGCAGCCCCAATTACCTTTTTCTCCATATCTGCTTTGCCTTGCTCAGCCTGTAACGCCTTTCTCATGCCAAAGGCAACGCTGCTCTCGTACAGGGTCTGGTAGGCAGCAACGGTCATTCGGATTTCATCTCGGACCCGATGCAGCAACATTCCCCGCTCTATGCAGTTAATAGTAACTTCACGGATAAGTTCGTCTTTAAGCAAAAAAGGGCGGAAGTGAAGACGAGAGGGGGAAACAGATGTGGGCATCAGGAAAAACAAGGACTTGAAGCAGCCCTCTGCCAAAGTTCCCACAAGAACTATAATGACACGGAGGCTTCTGAGGTCAGCGATTAGGCCTGAAGCTTCTTACTGGCAAAAAATGAACAGATCACCGGTAATAATCGGCACTCCCCCTACCCCTGTGGCTGGTGCCTTCCCACAGCGTCCCGTGCTGGGCTGTGGCAGGCAGAGGACTAGCACGGTGTCACTGAAACGTTTAGCAAACTGCCTGAATTCATCTTCTGTAAGTTACTGCAGCATCAGAGCGATGGGTCTGAATGAGTCTCTCGCTGCCAAGCGAATCTGAAACAAACCCTGCCGATGCCCTGCTGCCACAGTAACGTCCTTGTAGAGCTTGCTTGTTCTAGCAGTACACCTGCGCACCTGGGACCGATCTGAGACCCACAGGTGACCCAACACGCAGTAGATGGTAATAACCTTCATTCCCAACTGGCCAAGGCTGGACTACAGCCCACAAAATTACTGGGAGATCTCCATTTGCTATTCCCCCGTGCTCATCTACTCGGCCACCTCCAGTGTTTTGCTCTCAATCCCATGGGCCTTTGGCTCGCGCCGCTAGCGATCGGGAGAGCTCACTGACCGAAGCACTGCGAGTACAGCTCCCTGCGGACGGGGCAGATCCCGGTTTCTCGAGCCTGTCTTTGCTGCAGCTTGAGGTCCAGCTCTTCCTGCAGATGCAGCACGTCCATCCGCGTGCTGGGCGTACACGACACTTGCTGGATCCAGAGCTGATTGTCTTCCACCCATTCTCTGCACCACAAAAGCAGCACGGATTTCATTACTAGACATTCATCGCCTTCTTTACAGCCCCGTCGCTGTAAGAGCACCGGCCGCGACCAGCGTCCGCTCGGGACCTGCTGCTGGAGGGGATTTAATCAAGCAGATCTCCGAGCAAATGGGAAGCGTTCGTTTCACGAGCGCCGCGGGGTTGTTCAGACGGCCGTGGCGTTCGCCCGGGGCGGTGGCCGGAGAAGGGCCTCGGGTGCAAAGATCACAGGAACGATCGGGTGAGAAACGCTTCGTGCGGCCGACGCGGGCCAGGCCCCAGGAACGACTGGCCACGAGCTGGGTCACAGGCCGGGGCCAGCACGAGCGCGGGGCAGCGACCCCCCCGCCCCCCCGGGGCCGTCCTCACCGCGGGGGCAGGATCGCGTTCAGCACCTCCTCCGTCTGCTGCTTCGCCTGCTCCGCCGCCGCGCACGGAGACCGCGCCTTGGGCAGGG